CAAAGCCCAACAAAATAAAGTGATGGGCCTTCCTTGGGTTTGGGCCCACTCTTCATGCATCCTTCTTGCCATAGCCCTAGTAGTTGGGCCCTTAGCCCATGGGCCTCCTCCATCACAAAGAACGTGGGTCGAACGGTTACGAGAAGTTACATCTTAAACCCACGTTACAGGCATAGTGGATAGCGGTATTCCCCACAATGCACAAACATGAAATTAAACGCTCTTGACTGGCTCTATAAATACGAGAAGTGTGGTGATTAACAAGGGTCAAAAAAGTCATACTTGAACTCTCAAGCACTCACTGCCTGCGCATATGGCTTTTGTGCAAGGAATTGCTGGGTATGACCATTTCTTTGTCACATTTCTTTTCTTCTTCCAGGAGTAGGATTAGTGTAATTTTCTTCTTTTTCCGTAGTTATAGGTTGTTTGAACTTCAATATTGTAATTGTAACGTAATCCATATGCAAATTGGATGATGATTTGTATTGCCAATGTATGTTTTAGTTACACTATTCGCATAAGTATTTACATGCATGCAAATTATTGTTTAATTATTATTCATGAGGATTTGGAAACCAACTTCTGTTGATCTATCTCGTCTACTTCCATTCTTAATAACACGAACACTTTAAAATACCTAAATTGAAACAATTTTGTGCTAGTTCGAATAAAAAGAATCCATAAACTAATTCTACCGTAAACACATGCACGACCTTCTAAATCAAGAATTTTTTACTGGAATAATTCTTTTTAAAAAACAATTACCCAAATAGTACATGTACCAATTTATTTACCTAAGTAGCATGATTTATTGTTCACGCTCAGAATTCGATTCCCGAGAAACCGAATTCTGAGCATCGTTTTATATATATATATATATATTATTTTTTTATTTTTATTTTTATTTTTTTTGCGTTTTGGGTTTAGCCCATGTGTTAATTAAGTTAATCACCTATACACTACTAGTGTAAAGTTTTTTTATACTGGCAACCAATTATATCTTTCAATTGTGCCATGTCACTATAAACACATTTACTTTAACAGTGACATAATACAATTAAAAGATATAATTAGTTGTCATTGTAAAAAAAACTTTACACTGGCAGTGTATAGGTGATTAACTCGTGTTAATTTTGCATTTGAAACTATCCGTTCTGCATCTGGAACGGGCTATTTTGCATTTGGAACGGTCTGTTCTTAAACCAGAACAAGTCATTTTAGAGTTGAGTTTTAACTCATAACCTGAATGTTGGAACGGCCCGTTCTAAACTAAGGTTTTAGGCCTTTTTAGTAGTTTGGAATGGGTCGTTCTAGTTTTGGAATGGCCCGTTCTAGGCTACTGACACGTGGGCCCAGGACTAATGAGTTTTGATAAATTTAATTAGTTATATTTATAATGTTAATAAATAATAAATTTAATTAGTTATATTTAATAATTTATTTGGAGTAGATTTTAGAACTTCATCTTCAGTACAGTCATACATACAATCTCTTTAGTCTTTACCAACAGGAATTCACTAATGAACCTAGTAGTTCTTTAACAGCATTTCAACAACCAGTGCTTGATGATTGTACTCTAACAATCCTTCTGAGCAACAACCTCCACGGCGTAATCCAGGCCGTAACAGACGTCGCCCTCGTAATCCAGGTTGTAATAAATAGCCTGGTTCATCATCAAGCACTGGTTGTTGAAATGTTGTTGAAGAACTACTAGGTTCGTTAGTGAATTCCAGTTGGTAAAGAGATTGCATGTATGACTATGCTGAAAATGAAGTCCTAAAATCTACTCCAAATAAATTATTAAATATAACTAATTAAATTTATTATTTATTAACATCATAAATATAACATTAAATTTATTAAAACTCATTAGCCCTGGGCCCACGCCTCAGTAGCCCAGAACGAGCCGTTCCAAAATTAGAACAGCTCGTTCCAAACTACTAAAAAGGCCTAAAACTCTAGTTTGGAATGGGTCGTTCCAACATTCAGGTTATGATTTAAAACTCAACTCTAGAACAACTCGTTCTGGTTTAAGAACGGGTCATTCCAGAGACAGAACAGGTTGTTCTAGATGCAGAACGGACCGTTCCAGATGCATAGTTAACACATGGCCTAAACTCAAAATACCAATATATATATATATATATATAGAACGCTGCTCAGAATTTGGTTTCCCGGAAACCAAATTCTGAACGTGAACAGTAAACTGTGCTACTTTGATAAATAAATTGGCACATGTGCTATTTAGGTAATTTTTTTATAAAAAAAAAAATTATTCCACTAAAAAATTCCTAAATCAAGACCTCAATCTCACATGATACTGTTTAGTTAGGAATTATACTACTATTATGTATCAATTGGAACATAAAAGTTTCCCATCATTAGTCATATATGAATCCGATCCAGCAAAGCTTCTAATAAGGAGGGGGCGAAACGAAGGGCAATAATATAACCTTTTATAAATGCAAATTTATCGGAAAACTGAAAGAAACAATCAGTATGAACCCCTTATTTTGAGGAAAAAATAATTATTAAATAAATTGACAAGTACATATACTATATTACTTCAAAAGTATGGATAAAAAATATTGCTTCAAAAGTAATGCCTAATAAATTTATACTATATGTATTACTTCATTTTGTGATTTAATAAATTTATAATGTAAAAAAAAAAAAACTTATATTGACAAGTATATATATACTATATATTGCTACAAAAGTAGTGCCTGAAACTTCAAATAATAATAAATAAATAGTGCCTAAAACAACTTTTTATGTGTTATTGGGTGATTCATAAAGGTATCTGCACGTTTAAGTATCCACTGATCTACACAGTTTCTATTACAATTTATTATATTAAAATGTTGCGCGAGTAATATTGTGTTATTATTAGTATATATTACTATCTTAATTAAACCATAATTAACTAATAAAAATGAATTTATATTAATTCAGTGCAATGTTCTATATATGTAGTACACGTCACTTATTTTTTATTGTAATATATATAACTACATGAGTAAAGTTCTCAGCTTGTCAAGGAATATTTTGAGCTTGAAAATTAATCGAATTAATGGCATCAAAGTGGGACCTCCTAATATATCGATTGTACTCTAACAATTCTTTTACTGACAAAAGAATATAGGACTAATTAAATATAATAATTTCTATAATATATATATATATATATATAAACTCCATTAACTCATTTAAAAAAATATATCCCAAAAAGTTATATATTTCTTTTATCATTAAATGCATGCAAACTATATATATTCATTTTAAAATTGATAATTTGCATATATTTTTTTTATAATATATCTTTTTATTAGAATTTTGCAAATGCTCCAATAATGAGATAATATATTCCAATATTTATGATAATGAGGAATATTTAAAGACACTCTAACATATATATTGTTTCAAATAAATGAAGATATCCTGCCAAGTGAATATCATGTGTTTAATTGTTATAAGATACTCATGCTAAGATATATGTTATTCGTTAAGAGTTAATTGTCTAAAATTTTTATCTCATAATGATGGGTGATAGGCCCAAAGTGGACGGATCCAAAAAAATTAGCTCAACTTTATCTTGAACGAGGAGGATAGCACAATATAAATACACTAAACATATACATTAGAGTGTTAAATTCTTTTAAAAAATTTATTGTTTCAACGATTTATTTTGTATTATTTTATATACATTTTGCATAAAAATGCATCTAACATAAAAATTGATAAATAACTGTATAAATATTGCACAGTTATGAATGCTCACACAAAAGTTTAACAAATAATGTATATATATCCACATGCTCCCATTTCATTTTATTAATACACATGTGCAACATTTTATTCCAGCATCAAGAGGACACAAGAAATTAAGAAAAATGAATTTTCTTAATATATTTTTTAATCATATTATTAATATGATGTATTTATTAATTTCCACAATAACTAATTTCAACCAAATTGATATACTCTAAAATTCAAATTTAACATCTTATATACTTAAAAGACCGTACAATTCTACTTAAACCTTACAACTATTATTTTACTTGTCAATTGACAATATTGGTTGGACCAAGTCCAATTCTACTTCCACCAATGACTTAATATTAAAGAGGGTTCAAAGTAGTATGTTGACTTCTTTAATATACTCTCCATTTGCTTTATTTTATATTCCTCTATGTTGTCTTCATCCTTTTTGGTTATCCTAATATTAATATTTATTTATTAGTTTCTTAATTAGTTTACTCTTATTTTTTTCTTAGCAAAATTTTACTTTTTTATTAATATATTATATATATATATATATATGTGAAGATTTTTACTAATTTCAAGAATAACATTCGGTACAGTTGTTCTAATAAACAACTTATTCTTTATATTAAATTTTAATTATCTAATTATTAAATTAAAAGTAGATTCTTACAAATTTTAAAAATCATTTAATATTTATTACATAAATAAAATTAATTTATAATATATTTTTTATAAATATACGTGAGTTTAAATCAATATATAACAATATCAAATAGTTTTTAAATTTTATAAAAAAATTTATAGACTCAATTTATTTGTTAACAATAGTTAAATCATTATAATTTAACATAAATTATAAATTATTGAATAAAATAATCTTCCTAAAAATTAGTCTTGATGAAGTATATTACTTTGGTTGTAAAATGATTATTTTTTTACCAACATAATCAAAGCCACATCCAATTGATAAGTGAAAGCAATGAGTTAGGTCAACTATTCATGAAATTTATTTATTTTTTTCATAGATATCTCTAAATTCATTAGTGTAAGAAATTAATCATGAGGTAAGTGTTGGTTTAGCATGAAATGTAATGGTACATTTAAACAAGAAAGAATGAAGTCCATTCATTATCCTACTGAGTGATTCTCTTGCTCTCTCTTAAATCATAGACAAATGAAACAGACACGTATTAAGAGGGTGGTCAGCTTTAAATTAACCCTCACCCAACAACTACAGCTGTGTTCCAGAAATGACCATGACCATGACCACCATACCCCATCCTCTCTCTCTTTCTCTCTTTGCGCGTTACTTTTACTTTCTATTAAAACCAAATCATTGTCTTCATCATTGCATTTCCTCATATCCCGCAAAACCCATTTTTCATTTCATTCCTTGAAGGAAGATCAAGCCAAACACCACAAAGCCTCAGATCAACAAAGATCGGGAAGCTCTCATCTTTTGAGGGGAATGCTGTCTGGTTCAAGGAGATGCATGAGATCACATATCACACTACTTTTCACTTCATACACCAAACTATTCTTCACAAAACTTCATCAAATTCACATGTAATAATCATCCTCGGACCAGGCTTCATTCCTCTCAATTACAGCTTCCATCATCTAAACCATTCAAATCATATATGTAAAATATTCTCCAGGTCAGTCTATAGTATTATTTTCTTTCTATTTTCAGCTCATTAGTTTGTTATATATCCTTGTGTGTTATTGTCTTCCCTTTATTACCTGTGGAAATTATTCATGGTGTGATTCACTGGTGGATCTGTGTAATGATGAAAAGATTTGACTGCACATGTGCCCTTCTTGTCTTCAACACAACTCAAAAAGGCAGCCATCATTTGCTTTTGAATTTTTATTCTACAATCAACATATTTTCAGATCTTTCTATCATGGCTGTTTCAGTTTGATCAGTGTCCTATATATCATTCTGTTGTTGGCTGTTTTCAATCATTGGATCGGAATTTCTCATGATGAGTTCCAAGATCTCGTGTGTTTGTCTATGTATATAGGATCTGGTTTAGGGTTTTCATAGCCAACAACCTGTTAGACTTTTAACTATATAATTAGTAGAATAGTGTGACTGTGAGCATATGCACCTATAAGGTAGTTCTTCTTCCATTGATATTATGCTAACATATAGACCAAAGAAAAACGACCAACCGAAATTAAGTTTTCTTTTTAAATCTTCATAACATATAAATCAATTACTGTAAGATCATGTATTTATTTATCAAATTCTATGAATGTGTGGGTAGATTCAACTTCAAGTTTCAGAACTGCATGCCATGTGGATCTCCACCTCCTCAGCTTTACCAATTATTCAATTATTGTTCTTTTTATAGCCCCTTTATTTTTTTTTCATCATTTTTCAGCATTAAGTTCTTTTTCAGTGGAAGACATTGATGGAGAAGAATAGTAAGTTGAAGCATATAGTGTGACAAAATATTCTGTAGAATAGATTCTATTTTATTGCTATCTTTTCTTTCTTTATAAAAGGAGACGTCTTTCTGCTGTCTTTTGAAAATCTTTCTTTTGAATCTCTCTTTAACTCTTTATTTTTTTTCTTTATTTTATCTCCTACCAAATATATTCCCTTGGCTCATATCAAACTTATTCTAATTGAGTTTAAATTAATGTTTGATTCTAAGTTAAGCATTTAGGTTAATCAAATCTTACATTTCTCATCTTTCAGCAATTAATATTTAGATATACATATCCTAGTTAATTTATAATCGTGCCATATAAATTGTGGGTACATGCATACGGATTATGTAGAATTTATTTAGAATGTATTTCTTTATACTATCATTCGATTATATATTAGTATTATGCATGATAAAATTATCAACTTTTATAATAATTTAAAATTGTAAAGTTTATATAATATAGTAATTGATAGTGTATAGGTTTATCAAAACTAAATTATATTATGTATTATATATAATAAATAATAATGATGTAGAAGAAAATGAAACGTTACTTTAATTAGGACGCGTCATTTCACAAAACAAAGAAACTTTCTGCACGGGAAAGGTTAGCAATTAAAATGAAAGGATTCTCAGCGCAGATTTTTAGGCATGTAGCTAATTATCCGAAAAAGTACGTTTTCTGCTAATAAGTTAAGTAATCGATCGACAATGACAGTGAGATAAATTACCTAAGTGCTATTAGTTGATTCCTTATACCATATTAACATGATAATTTCTTTTAATTTATTTAAGGATTAGAGAACCTTTTTGTCCATGTCAATAGTATATTTTTCTTTTATTAATTGACCTTTATAATTTTTATAGTTTTAAATTTTATTAACTAATTATTATCGATGTATATTTAGCTTTTGGATTTTGATCCTGAAGCCTTATCTATTAAGATATTAATCTCTATTCTCATAAAATTAGCATCAAACTTTATAATTTTACTTATTAATATATTACAATGATATATAAAAAATGTTATAATATGTATAATATATATAAATATATATTTATTTCTCATATAATTATACATAATTTTAATATTAATTTTGAATATAATTTAATAACATAATTTATATATTAGTTTATACTCATAATTTTTAATAATATATTATATTTATTATGTAGATAAAAATAATTTTTTGACACATTATTACTATACAATTTTCTTGTAATGGAATTTAAATATGTAAAATATAAGGATACACATTCAAGAAATAGAGTATAAAAAAAGTCTAGGATATCTAAATTGCTCCATGCATGTTATACATTAAAAAAAAATGAGTTAGGCCATACATATTAATGTCAGCAATGTGTAACATTTATTCCATCGATCATCGGGACACAGGTTTTGATAATTGTGGTTTCTGACAATCCCTTTTTGCAGCGTCCTATCTCCCTTTCTTTGCTTTGTTATTTTGTTTCCCGAACGTAGTTTCAACTCTTCCTCAAAATTAGATCTGCTACTGCTGCTGCATGCACTAGTACACTGTAACCAAACCTGAATAAAGGGACTGATGGCTATTAAGACAAAGCCCCACGGCCATATGTATAAAAAGAAGCTCAATGCTATGTCTCAAAGCCCTTCTTTTCTTTTTCTCCTCTGCAGGATAATTAAAGATGATACTCTATCTTATGTTACAAGTTACAATGATATATAAATTTGTTTACCCAATTGATTGTGATCATATGCTCTTTTAACCGGCTTTCACAAATTAAAGCAGCTTCATCTTAATAATAAACTTAATTATATTCTTGATTTCCAATTTCTGCAAAATATTTTATTTAGACAAAATTTGTTTTCAATCAATCTATCTTGATTAATTATCCAAAAGGCTTGGACCCAATGTCAATGCATGATGTGGTTATATATGATGACTAAACTACACAAACATTAATTATGAATTAATGTTTTTATTTCAGTAGTGGGATGCAGGTGCGCAACACACGGACAAAGGTAAAGAAGAAAAGTTATTATATATAGGTGGAACAGAAAGTGATGACTGGAAATGTAGGTTTTATGTGTATTGCCTGTTAAGTTGTTGGCAGAATCATATCCTGATTTCACTTTTTTCCCACTAAAATGACCAAACCCTTATTAATAATTAAACTCAGTCTAGCTTTGGTAGTGCAGGAGGATTTGGTTTCGGGGTGATTAAAACAAGGTTGCCGGCATTTTGTTTTTGTTCTATTTGCTTTCTTCTCTTTTCTTTTTAAATAACATGGTGGCTGCAAGAGTGATGGTCAGAGAAAAAAAACAATGTTTTGAGATATATGACTTTGTTTTATAGTCACTTTCTTTTATAGGAGATATACAGTGTTTCTTGGATAAGAGAGTGTTAACGAGGGAAAATCTTTACACACAACAGAATTTACCCATATAATCAAGAGGTCTTTGATGAAGACATGATTTTAATAATTTGGTTCTCTAGATAGAATTAAATTATAACATAAAATTAAATATTATATATCGATATCATAATCTTAAAAGAGAAAATAAGTATTTAAAAATAAATTAAAACAAAAGCGTAAAAATCTTTACGATTAAACAAGACCCTAAACAAAGATTTGAAAGGGAAAATTTTTCTAGAATAGCACCTCTCGAATTTACTCTCGTTACATTTATTTAAAAATTTAAATTGTTCTTCTAATAATTTTATTTTCAACTAAAATTTTCAAATTTCATTTCCCTATTCGTCAATATCATTGTTGAAAAATCCTTTGCACATACATAACAAAATTACTCACATGTTCAAAAAATCTTAAATGAAACACCCATTTAATTTTTTATTTCTCAACCCTACATATCGAACTAAACTTAACACAAAATTTAAATAGTATTAGCCTCCTAATTATTATAATGAAAAAAGTCTCTAAAATGAATTAAAACAAGTCTATAATATTTTTAAATCTTAACAACATCCTAAATATTAACAAATTTATGATAATAAAAAAAAACACCTCTTAATTTTTCCCCAAGTACAATTCTCCCAATACAATGTGATGTATTTCAAACAACTAAGTAAACATATTGTAAGAATAGAAAGAGAGAAGTATTATAGGAAATTTAACGAAAGCTTAGGAAGTATCAATATAACTTATTCTATAAAGATACATTAAAATTTAAAGAGGCACTTACTATTTTTATTTTTTAGTTTCATTTTAATTATATAAAATATTTTGTTTCCTATTTTTATAAATTTATATAGAAGATGAAAATAAATTTTCATTTCCTAATTGAAGAATTAATTTGTACTTCATGCACTTTTCTTCCTTGTCATCAAGTTCTCCTATAAGCTACCTTACTAAATAAAAACCTTTATAATTCTACCACACCATATTTAAAAAAGGAAACAATGTTGAATAGGACTTTTTGTTAAAGACATCATTCATAGGACTTTATTGGAATCCTTATTTTCTATCTATAATTTTACTCATCCACAAAATATATCGATTACAATAATGTCATTCCATCTATTTATACTACAAGTCTTTCCAACCAATGTTTATTAATCAGGTAATTGGCTAATGAATCAAAAGTGAGAAATTATTTTACGGTGAAGATGTATATTAAAAATCATGAAAATTGTAGTGTTGTTGTTCTAAAAAAATATTGTAATGTTGCACTTCTAAATAAAAACATTTTCACTTTCTATTTCTTAACTAGTGTTATAAAGATATTGATTAACATGTTTCGTATACTATAGCATATTAGTAAATATTACTACAAAAATACTATTACAAAGCAATTTTTACATCAATTTTAGACCAGTTTAAAGAGACGTAGAATAAGTCTATTCAGAAAGTGGGTTCTAAGCGTATTTATGATGCAGTTTGGTTTAATTTTTTTTCTTAAAATTTATCTAAATTAAATAAGAAAATTAAGTCAAGTTTAATTTGGTTTAAATGAATTATGAAATTCAAATCAAATCAATCTTTTGTGGTTTTTAAAATTTTTTATTTAAAAATTAACTAAAATATGTAATATTATATTAGTTATTTAAGACTATACATCAAAAATAAAGTTATAAATAAATAAATACTAAAATATTTTTTGACCACTTAATGTATTTAATATTAATTTTTATCTTATAATTTTAGTAAAAATATTTATTTAATATAATTTTATATCATATTAAATATTTTCTTTCATATATATTTTGTCACTTAATATTTTTTTTGAACGTTAAAAATAATTCATAATTTTTTTTCTAAAATTTAGTTTAATAACTTACAATTTTATAAAGTATCTTTTAAATATAGTAACGTATATTTAAAAGAAAATAACACATTTTACCAACTTAAAATTTTATAAAATACATTTTATGTTTTGTGTCGGTTTTTATATATGCACTATACATTTGGAAAAAAAATATCTATAAATAAGTGTAATTTGATTCAATTTAGAGCAGTTTCACATTTCAATTTGAAAATCAAACCAAACCATGCATTTTAGAAAATTAAAAATCAAATCAAATTATAAATTTACAATTTCTTATTAGTTTTTGATTTTTTGGGTCCGTTTACGATTTTTCATTTGGATGGTTTGGTTTTAAACACCCGTAGTGGACTCTAAATGAACTAGAAAATCTTTTTACTAAACTATTTAGTCAAAATTAATTAAAAAAATGACTTTTTATATGTATATTGATTTTGGATATAGTTGTTGGAACTAAAGATATATATATATATATATATATATATATATATATTGTTT